CACCACTCACCCTCACCACTCAACTTCACCCTCACTACTCACCATTCATCCTCACCAATCACCACTGACCAATCACCACTCACCACTCTCCACTAACCCTCACCACTCAACCTCACCACTCACCCTCAAAACTAACCACTCTCTCACCACTCACCCTCACCACTCAGCACTCACCCTCACCACTCACCCTCACCACTCACCCTCACCACTCACCCCTCACCGCTCACCACTCACCCATCACCACTCACAACCGCCACTCACCTTCACCACTCATCCTCACCACTCACCCTCACAACAACCACTCACCCTCACCACTCACCCTGACCACTCATCCTCACCAATCACACCCTCACCAATCACCACTCACCCGCACTGCTCACCCTCACCACTCACGCTCACCCTCACCACTCACCCCTCACTAATCACCACTCATAACCGCCACTCACCCTCACCACTCACCACTCACCCTCAACACTCACCCTCACCACTCACCGTGACCACTCACCCTCACTACTCACCACTCATCCTCACCAATCACACCCTCAACAATCACCACTCACCCTCACAACTCACCCTCACCACTCACTCTCACCACTCACCACTCACCCCTCACAACAACCACTCACCCTCACCGCTCAGCACTCACCCTCACCAATCACCACTCACCCTGACCACTCACCACTCATCCTCACCAATCACATCCTCACCAATCACCACTCACCCTCACTGCTCACCCTCACCGCTCACCCTCACCACTCACCCTCACCACTCACGCTCACCCTCACCACTCACCCCTCACTAATCACCACTCACAACCGCCACTCACCCTCACCACTAACCCTCACCACTCACCCTCACCACTCACTAATCACCTCTCACAACCGTCACTCACCCTCACCACTCACTCTTACCACTCACCCTCACCACGCACCCTCACAACAACCACTCACCCTCACAACAACCACTCACCCTCACTACTCACCCTCACCACTCATCCTCACCAATCACACCCTCACCAATCACCACTCACCCTCACTGCTCACCACTCAACCTCACCACTCACGCTCACCCTCACCATTCATCCCTCACTAATCACCACTAACAACCGCCACTCACCCTCCCCACTCACCCTCACCACTCACCCTCACCAATCACCACTCACCCTCACCACTCACCACCCTCACCACTCTCCCTCACCACTCTCCCTCACCACTCTCCCTCACCACTCTCCCTCACCACTCTCGCTCACCAGTCACGCTCACCACTCACCACTCACGCTCACCACTCACCCTCACTACTCACCCTAACCACTCACCACTCACCCTCACACTCACCCTCACCGCTCACCACTCACCCTCACCAACTCTCACCACTCTCCCCCCTCACCACTCTCCCCCTCACCACTCTCCCCCCTCACCACTCTCTCCCTCACCACTCTCCCCCCTCACCACTCTCCCCCCTCACCACTCTCTCCCTCACCACTCTCCCCCTCACCACTCTCTCCCCTCACCACTCTCCCCCCTCACCACTCTCCCCCTCACCACTCTCTCCCTCAACCACTCTCCCCCTCACCACTCTCTCCCCTCACCACTCTCCCCCTCACCTACTCTCTCCCTCACCACTCTCCCCCTCACCACTCTCTCTCCCCCCTCACCACTCTCTCTCCTCACACTCTCCCCCTCACCACTCTCCCCCTCACCACTCTCCGCCCCCTCACCACTCTCTCCCTCACCACTCTCATCCCTCACCACTCTCCTCCCTCACCCTCTCCACTCCTCCCCTCACCACTCTCCCCCTCACCACTCTCCCCCCTCACCACTCTCCCCTCACCACTCTCCCCCTCACCACTCTCCCCCTCACCACTCTCCCCCCTCACCACTCTCCTCCCTCACCACTCTCCCTCCCCTCAACCACTCTCCCCCTCACCACTCTCCCCCTCACCACTCTCTCCCTCACCACTCTCCCCCTCACCACTCCCCCTCACCACTCTCCCCCTCACCACTCTCTCCCTCACCACTCTCCCCCCTCACCACTCTCCCCCTCACCACTCTCCCCCTCACCACTCTCCCCCTCACCACTCTCCCCCTCACCACTCTCCCCCTCACCACTCTCACCACTCTCACCACTCTCACCACTCTCCCCCTCACACTCTCCCCCTCACCACTCTCTCCCTCACCACTCTCCCCCTCCCCACTCTCCCCCTCACCACTCTCACCACTCTCACCACTCTCACCACTCTCCCCTCACCACTCTCCCCCTCACCACTCTCCCCCTCACCACTCTCACCACTCTCCCCACTCTCCCCCTCACCACTCTCCCCCTCACCACTCTCCCCCTCACCACTCTCACCACTCTCCCCACTCTCCCCCTCACCACTCTCCCCCTCACCACTCTCCCCCTCACCACTCTCACCACTCTCCCCACTCTCCCCCTCACCACTCTCACCACTCTCCCCACTCTCCCCCTCCTAAAGGAATCTACAACCTTCGATTCGTCCTTTGTGCGATTCAAGGAATCGATTCCTGGCATGTTGGGGGTTTACATTTTGAACGACAGAGTTTTATTTTCATTGATATGTTATGTTTTAATGTTTTCAGGAGTTTTTAATAACATTTTTGCCCCGGTCAACGCCGGATATTTCCCGTTCGTAGCAGTTTATATCGACTTTAACCAACTTATAGTAAACGGGAATCGTCCGAATCTAAAGGAATCTACAACCTTCGATTCCTTTTCGCGATTCAGAGAATCGATTCTTGGCGCGTCGGGTTTAAAAGTAATTACACACTTGTATTTTCATTGGTATGTAATGTTTTAAAGTTTTCAGAAGATTTTAAATGTATTTTCCCCCCGGGCAACGCCGGGTATATCGAGTTTATACCACAAAGTCGTCGCTTGACACGGGTGGGGTGTCGATGCCTAGTACCGTGCAGAGCCTCCGGCCTTGCCTAGATTGCCTACCCAGCAGAGGCTCCGTACTGGGGCCAATACCCCCCCCCCCCCACGCGCTACAATAATACTGTCTAATCGCTATAATTTTATTATCTACCGACCCTATAATAGTAATTGCACACATTGGGGTGGAAGGGGAGTGAAGAGGACGTGAAACTTTGATGAATTTACCTCAGAATCGCGTGTTAATGCGTGCGCATATTTTAAATGGTAATTCAAAATGGCGTCCACCCCGCAGCGAACGCGTCTACCCGTTGCCAGGGGCAACCGCCGTGGTCCGCGCCGGCCGGCAAGAGTAAATAAATAAATAAAGCGTTAAATAAATAAATAAAGATAAATCGCACTAAATCGATAATCGGTCCGATTTAAAGTTTAGAGACGAAAAATCGGAAATGCCTAAGTTTACCGCGGGGCCGGGGGCGTGCCCACCTGCAAAATTTAATCTCGCCGAACCCCACGGTCCTAGAGCTAAATCCCCCGGTAGGGAGCGTACGCGGACGGACGGACGGACGGACGGACAAAAAATGAATTATATAGGTTAGATGTATTATTACACTTGTTTAGCCAGGAAAGCCCCACTGAGTCAAAGTAGGGTCCTGCCAAGTGTTTGCAGTAGGGGGCGATGTTGCTACACCAAATCGGACGATACGAAGGGAGAGTTTGAGGCCTAGTTCTAGGCTTTAGGCCTAGCTGTAGCCTTTAGGGCGCTGTGAGTTAATTGTTCATTTAAATGTTTTAATTATTTATGTAAAAGCTTTAAATGTAAATGTTTCTATTTAAAAACATGAGGGAATGTAACATTGTTAAACATTAACTCCCTTTCACACACGCGGGGGTACGATACGAAGGGCTCTTTCAGGCCTAGTTCTAGGCTTTAGGCCTAGCTGTAGGCTTTAGGGCGCTGTGAGTTTTTTATTTAATTTCAAAGTTTTAATTAAAAGCTATCTCAGGGAATTATAAGGGAATGTTACACGTGTTTAGCCAGGAAAGCCTCATTAATTTAAATGTTTTAATTAAAAGCTATCTGAGGGAATTATAAGGGGATGTTACATTGTTTAGCCAGGAAAGCGTCACTGAGTCTAAATGTTTTTGTAGGGTCATGCCACGTGTTTGCAGTAGGGGGCGATGTTGCTACACGGTCGGATGGACGGACGAAATAATCTATTGGTGGCTGGTCCACTTCGTTCCTACCAGTATAACAATACAGTAGAACCTCTTAGTCACGAACGCTTCTGACCACGACCAAATCGGGTTCAGACCAAAAAATTCACAAAAATGTTTAATCTAGTCACGAACACATACAGTACTGTACTCGTCAATATAAAATACAATACGCTGTAATTTGGATTTTACAGCGTCTAAATACTGTATGATACACTTTCACACTGCACACACACAAACACGCAGGACAGCCCCAACTTTCAAAGAGGGGGGGCTGCTCCAACCCACACAGCAAGTACAGGGTGCCTCCGTGTTCGAATTCCCAAATACCGCCACCCTGACCCCTTATTAAGAACGTCCATCTCCTGACAGACTTCACAATTCACCATTGGCACATGAACTTTACCAATCATGCCTATCTAACCATGCATCTCACCTCCCACGCGACAATCGAGTGTCTTAATTACAGCATGGCTCGTCTACCCATTTGTGCCCGTGGTGTAATCTGGCTGCTACTGGCCCGGAATGGCATTCCTCCATGGTGGACAGAACGCACACACAAACGTATCGAAAAGCAAAGGCCCTCAATGATCAACTTCACCCAGAACAATCTAAAACAAAACAGATTGTGCCAACTACCCCCACGTGTCCACCTGCGTCTATTCTCTTAGCTCCGATCGGCCCCACCGTAATATAATAAATGCATTATCTCTACCTTCACAACATTGAAACATTTTCACTAATTATATCACGAGCAAATACATTAGGCTCACTTATGATTAATATCACCATAATTGCACTTGTATTATTCAATTTAGCCCACGCACGATGTAACTCCTCGCATGCCACACTTACAATCATTACTCATTATCACCTCATCTCTTTCGAATAGATACAAAAGAAAGAATAATTGAAATGATAATCCAAATCAATCCCAAAATGAGTCCACAGATGTTGAGATTCCGAGCAGTCACGGAGCAGTGTCTGGCGTGCTCCATGTCTCCTTTCGACACGTTGTCTCGGACCTGCGTACAAGAAACAAGGAGCACATTGATGTTACTCTGTGTCCTGCATCGTCATGGTATCACTGTAAAGTCACGTATATGAACCTATCTACGTGACTTTACCGAAAGCAAGCGTGCTGTGACGGTTCCACCTGAAGACGGAAGCTTGTGTTGCCTCCGAAACGTCGTGATTTTTATTTTACTTTTATTAATTTTTTTTACCTACGTGACTTTACCGAAAAAACCTAAGAGTATGAATCCTTGCAGTCACGAAAGCTTCAAATTTAGAAATATTAATTACTGCAGTCACGAAAGCTTTAAGTCAAGATTTAAAGTTCAAGTATGCATGATTTTGTCGTTTCGTTGTTTCCCTTTCTAGTTCTAGATTTGAAGCTTTCGTGACTGCAAGGATTCATACTCTTAGGTTTTCTCGGTAAAGTCACGTAGGTAAAAAATTATAAATAAATACAAATAATAAATACTAAATAAAATAATAATAGGTTTGGTAACAAAAGCAGTGCAATATTGTGATGTCAGACCTGTACTCCTTATATTGTTATTTTTTGCAATAAAGATCAATTGGGGCTGGTGCAAGGTTGTTTAAATTCGACAAATGCCAATGTCAATGCGATTTTGGTTAAGTTTAAGCGGCATACACCTTGAATTTATGAGCCACCGTTTTCCCTGATTAAGTCGGAAGATAGCAAACATATCATGGCGTCAAATTTATTGGTGCTGTTGCATAACTGCACATTAGAAGAACAGCGAGCTATAATTTGCCTGTTGTCTTCTAAAAATGAAATGGATCGAAGCATGAAACTGTAAAATGGTGAAAACGTTATGAATAATAGGAATATTTAAAACTTGCATTTACTGCACATAGGAATCTGGCCAAAAGGCGAATCCAGGGAGCTCAATGGCTTCTATTAACACTGTTGGCACCAGTGCCGGAATCCTAGTAGCAAAAGTATCATATGCTACGGGCCCCGCACTTTCAAGGGCCCCGCGCTAAATTCTTTAAAGCTATCAATTCCGTACTCTTTGGTTCTTTCGGTAACATCACATAGGTATAATATAGATGACGGCCGCTTGTGTTGCGCCCGAAACGTCGTGATTTAATTTATTTGTTTTATACCTTCGTGGCTTTACCGAAAGAACCAAAGGGTATGGATCCCTGCATTCACGAAAACTTCAAATCTAGATTACTATCAATTCTGGTTCAGTTATTCTGCACTTGCTCTATTACCATAGTACTATACTGCCTTCAACTTTGATGAACGACTGGGTGTTTAAGTTTAGCGATGTGTTGTATTATCTGGCTGTATAGCAAATAGAAAAATACAATTACTTTACTATGCCAGTTACAAATCTGTGTTTTAATATTTATGTGTTTTTGTATTTAGTGCCCCTTTATAACATATGCTACAGGCCTCGCACTAGCTTAATCCGGCACTGGTTGGCACCCAATGGACACAGATGTCAAATCAGAATATTTATTTATACTAGAGGAATCCGATGAGCCATAAAGCTCTCTTTCACAGATGTCTTTTTCATCCACTCAGATGTTTCCACACTTTACTGACATCATGACATATTCAAGATGGTCGATCTCAAAAACAGATTTTGCTCTAAAGTGTACTAAACAATAATGGAAATATTAATTCATATAAGCAAGCTGGTATTTGGATCGTGACTTCAGTTTGTTGAAAAAGTGTCAGTTTACACCAAAGCTGTAAAACTAGGACTCGTATGGAGGGACATCTCGCGTTGCCAAAGTACGAGATGCGTTAGGTGCATGAGAACGCATCAGCCGTGATCACGCGAAGCGTGTGCACTCACCATGATGGAGAAAATCAGTGCTGGGATCCCAGTCGGAAAGAAACAACATAGCATCGTGAACACGGAAAAAATCAGGTAGTCGGGCGGGCCGGGGTTAATAGCCTGAGTGGTTATCACCATCTGAGGCTGCGGAAAGATGACTCCCTGATTTGGATGGGTGAAATACACTTGCGGTTGTGTTGGGTTAGAGTATGGGGGGACTGGGTATTGGTTGGTGATGGGCGGCTGCTGGGGTTGATGGTAGCCAGAGGCGGGACCCTGCTCTCTTTCTGTGTAGGCTGGCGAAGACGTGGCCTCTTGCTTTCCGTCCATGCCGCAAGTCTTGAGATGATAACCTCTTAAAAGACATGACAAGTTCCATTATTAATATACATACCCATATAACATAGAGATGCGAGGCTTACATAAAGGCGTGCATCTTAGCTGCGGTTCGGCTCTTGATTGGCCTGTAACACGGCTCAGCTTAGGTTAGAGTCACTCAGTTGATCTCAAATGAGCGGCTCAGGCATGGGGCCGGCTCTGGCTCAACTCATGGAAATCTTGAGCGCAGCTGGGACCCTGTTCAGAGCTGATACAAGCCAAGGAAAGCACACAGTGTTTGCATTGTTTGTCCATTGGTACATCCTCCATCAAGTAGTGGATTGACCACGGCTGATTATGGTGATATATATCAGCATAGTAGGGCCTTAGACTATGGTACTCATTATGGGCGGAGTTGACCCCAAGTGGGATTTAAACTGACAAGGTCATGATAACCTGCTGCTCTACCAATCAGCTTACAAAACATCACATTATCATAAACTCCCTCGATTGCATTGGAAAATATTGCAAACTATTTCAAAACTGCAAAAAAAGACCTCCCTTAAAAGAGATCTATTCGCGCTATTTATGTTAACTTGGCAATACAGGAGACCCTTGAATATCACGGTTCTGTCGTTTGCAGTTTCGACCTATCGCCCCCGAGGGTCTTCTACATTTTGATAAGGCTTAAGTCTTGAATATCGCTGTTTTGGCTTTCGCGGAACGTTCCAAGAACTTAATCCCCACGATATTCATGGGTATCTTGTACTATATTTTGTCGATCTGTAGTCTAGCAATAAAATAACCATCAGAGGAGACTTAGTTTGTCGAATGTTGTGGAATGACCTGGCCGAAGACTGGTCTGTCGATGTTTTTTCATACAGCTTTCCTCAAAGAGCCGTGAATATTTATGAGACTCAGAAAGCCACGCGGTGGGGCATTTGGAAATTACGAAACGAGCAATCTAAATTCGACTTACCTCCGTTAATCTCGACTCATGAACCTGCGGAAGAAATCGCTTCAGTTGCAGCCTCAGCTCAGGGCACAGAACAGCTTGAGTCTGCCAAGTTCTAAAGTGTACACCACGTACTGGGTTCCATTTATATAACCCGGTTTCTATTGAGTGGTGACGACAGGCAAATGAAGGGGGAGGAGCCGCCACACCACGACTCCACGCTCGTTCCCCCGCTTCCGTCCCACGTATGGCAGCAATGCTGGCGGTTATCCCGTCCTACGGACGAGGCAGCGTTACATGGCGCACTCCTGACCTTCGTCAGACATTCACAACTCACCCGACCCTCACCACTCATCACCTTGTTATAATTGGGTGAGGCCGTTGAGATCCAGCCCACGCATTCCTCCTCAATGAGTAACGCACTCAACAAGGAGACAATATGACTCCTTCACATATCTGTCACTCCACGTGAAATAATCTAATTTTTTTTCTCACACAAACGGTTCAATACAAGCAAACTCTGGACTGGTTTTGACATTCGGTGTATCTCATCAGCAGAGTTCGGCTTGCTCGAACCAATGCTGGGGAACTCCCTACTCAATGAGACACTCCTATGAATTTCGTATTTTTTAAATTATAAACCCAAGTCACATCTCAGATTTATTTGCATATCCCTTCACACGTTTAAGATATACAGTACAGCGAATGTTTAGCAACTTTCACCACGGGGCTCGATTGTGTGAAGAAGTGTGTGATCATTGCATATAATTACACTGTAACATTTTTTTTGTTCCTGGGTAGTGTTTTTTCCTAATTGCTTACGCCTCAAAAGTACAGAAAATGTCTATTCCCCACAAACTTTGCTTTTGTGACCAGGACAGTGATATTTTAAAATTTACCTATTTTCAATGAGAAAACGGGTGTATTTGGGTCTTTTCATTCACATAAAGTCAGAAAAAAACACATGAATAAAAATGTACATGTATTTATACTAAAGTAATACAAAAATGACTACAAAAGATTTAGACATCAAGGCGCACTACCACAGGCGGGACTGGCCACAGCGGACCGAGTTATCTGTTAGGAGGAACAACGTCAAGTGGGAGCCACTGGTGGACCCCCGGAAGGTGCTGATGCCATCACCGCACATCAAATTGGGCCTTATGAAACAATTTGTCAGAGCTGTAGATAAGGAGTCGGCAGCCTTCAAGTACCTTCAAGACTTCTTCCCTGAGCTGTCTAAGGCAAAGGTCAAAGCCGGTGTCTTCGTCGGACCACAGATAAAGAAGATCCTGGAGTGCAATGAATTCCCCAATAATCTCACTAGTAAGGAGAAAGCAGGTTGGAACAGCTTTGTCACAGTGGTTCGTGGCTTCCTGGGCAATCACAAGGTCGAAAACTATGTGGAGCTGGTTGAGACTGGTGAAGAACTACGGCACAATGGGCTGTAGGATGCTCATCTTGATAAATTCAAGGAGAACATGGGAGCACCAGGATATACTGGACTTTGAACGCTGCTACCAAGGACAGTATATCGAAAACATGATGGGAGACTACATTTGGGGGCTGATTCGTGAATGATTTACAGTATAATTGTAAATCTCGAAAAACTACTCCTAAAGCTTTTGTAGTCATTTTTGTATTACTTTAGTATAAATGCATGTTAATTTTAATTCATATGTTGTTTTTTTATGACTTTGCGTGAACTAAAAGACACACATTCGCCCGTTTTTTCATTGAAAATAGGTAAATTTCAAAATATCACTGTCCTGGTCACAAAAGCAAAGTTTGTGGGGAATAATAGCCATTTTCTATACTTTTTAGGCATAAGCAATTATGAAATAACACTTACTACCCAGGAACAAAAACTGTGTTACATAGTGTTATCAGTATGGGTGCTCAGGATAGGAGGGTTAATTTTTCAAGTCGCTTCATTTTAATTGTTATTGCAAATGCGCTTATTTAAACATTAATTTATCATGTGTTGCTATTTCATGCACCGTTTGAGTGGCGTTTTGCATAGTGTCATTTAGACTGTGTGCGGCCACTTGTTTGAATTATAGAGTGCGTTCGTTTGGCCGTCGTTAAGGTAACTGCATCTCTTTGCAAGAATCCCCATGTGCTTTGCACATCACTATTGTGTATAAGGCATAACTTGGCATACAACGCGATTTTGTGAAGTGGTTGGCTCACAAAGGAGCCCTAGTGATCGTGTAAAGAAAACTACGAGGAAATATTCAAATCGAGTCATAACCATAGCATGCTGTGCTTATCCACAAGGAGTTTAACATTCATGCTTGTCACAACACGCGTGCACGTGTTTATATTTCAGAGTCAAAGCAATGGAGTCACCTGAGCGTCATAAAGGTGCACACAACCATAACTATGCCACCTTTTCAATGCGTTCCAACTGAAATAAAAGGACTAATGCCTTAGTTCCTTCCCTCGGTCACACCAGGGAAACTGATTTGAAAGTAAACAAACTTTACGTTCACGGGCACCTGGCTAGCCGTTAAACGGCATCCAGGATCTTGTGACTCGAGGAATATCGTTTTAGAAGACCTGTTTGGATGCATGGCTGTCAGCTGGCATTCTGGAAGAACAAACAGCAATACCTCGATAGGCGAAGTAGAAGCGTTACTGGAGCTTCATTCGAGTATTCAGAAGTCGTACATTAAATAATTTAACATTAGTACGATGAAGATGCGTTCCCAGCCTTCACAACTTACTATTTAGTACCATAAATACTGAATAACTTACAATTGATATTGTAAACAAAGAATTTTTTTCAGGAGACCCTTGAATATCGCGGGGGTTACATTCTTGGAAAGTGCCCCTAAAGCAAACCTGCGATATTCAATACTTAAGCCTTACCTTTCTGAGGATCGCCACCTTATTGTGGTGGAGAGGTTTGCGTGTTTCAATGATCCCAAGAACGAAGCCGTCGGAAGCCTCGTGCTCCTGGTAGGGTCACCCATGGCGGCAAGGTCAAAGGAGATGCTCCAGGCTAAAAGCGATTCAATAAATCCTCAACGGCAGAACAGGCAGAGACTCTGGGTCTCAACGGCAGTGAAGACGGACAAAGGTTGCAGCGGGAAAAGTGGCTCCAGTCGTCGCGGCTCGCCATGGCACTGGACCCAGCCACTCACCCGTCAAGATTGTGTGGATCCCACCCACGCACCGGGGTCCCCACGTAAATCAACTCCATGCACAGGTTTTCGTCAGGTTAGTCCTGCAGCGATGGATGATTGGCAAAGGGGTCAGGGCTGTGAATCTAGAAGCCCTCAGTTAAGACTCTGCATGCATGCGGTGGATGTGTGATGGTCGTTTGACACCAACACCGGGATAGAGGTGTCTTTCGGCAGCAACATCCGCCGCAGAGCAGTCCTCTTTAGGATGCCCTCTGCTCACCCTCAAATGGAGGAAGGGGCTAGAAAAGGTCCCATCAACATAGGCTATCCCACATTTCCTGGCTGGGAAACCACACCCAGCGGGGTCACCATACTTACGGTCGAGCAAAAACTAAATACAAATTTAATGAAAAGAAACAAAAAATTGTTACATTTTGCCACCTGAAATGTAGGAACATTCATGGACAACATCAAGAGTGATTGCCCCGAGTGAAGAACAGCCATCGCATCCAGAGAGTCAGCGAAACACAACATTGATATTGTTGCTCTCAGTGAAACACGACTTCCCGGAGAGGGGCAACTGAAGGAAGAAAGAGGATATACCTTCTTCTGGAAGGGGAAGCTGGACAGTAATCATCGGATCCATGGAGTCGGCTTTGCAGTCAAAAATAAAATTGCTGATGCGTTACTGGAACTCCCCACAGGTGTCAACGAAAGGCTGATGATCCTCTGCCGTCGACTTCAGCCAAAACCAATGCGCAACTATCATCAGCACCGATGCCCTGACCCTCGACGTGGATAACGGCATCAAAGAGCAGTCCTACTCCGATGTCAATGACACCCTCACTGCCATCCCAAGGAGCGACAAGGTGACTTCAATGCCCGGGTTGGGCGTGACCACAGCGTCTGGAGTGGAACTATTAGCAAGGACAGGGTGGAATCCCAGCTGAAGTCTTCCAAGCTGGCAGCCACCTGCTCACTTCAAGGCTCTACAAGCTGTTCATCTGGATCTGGCACGAAGAAGACCTTCCCGGCGACCTCAGGAATGCGACCATAGTAACAACCTTCAAGAAAGGGAACACGTTCCGAGTTTACTGGGCCGTTGTCATCCCGACACTCCTCTACTGCAGAAAAACATGGATAACCTACCAGCGCCATGTCACTGTGCTCGAGCAATTCCAACAGTGTTGCCCCCGCCAAGGGATCAAGTGGGAAGATCACTGCACTAATGTGAGTGTTCTCCTTCAAGCTAACACCACCAGCATTTATGTGATACTTCTAAAAAAACAACTCCGATGGACCGGCCACTGCATCCGCATGCCTGAGAACCGCTTCTCCCTTCAGATCCTTTTATCCCAGCTCTCTAATGGTCAGCAGACGAGGGGAGGACAAAGGAAGTTGTTCAAGGATACCCTCAAGTCCTTCCCCATATGCCCTCAATTGACAAAGATCTACGGATCCAGAATTGGACTCCTCAGCTACCTCATTAGCCACCACTAAACCTGATGGACGTCATCCTCGAACTCCGAGGGACTGCCGCCGACGACGATGACTTACCTAAATAATGGGGTTAGCTACACAGCAATAAAAAATAGACACATCACAATTTAAATAAGTGTAGGGCAGTAGAACCGCGTGGAGACGAGGAATTACAGTGAGGGAAAAAGTATTTGATCCCTGCTGATTTTGTACGTTTGCCCACTGACAAATAAATGATCAGTCTATAATTTTAATGGTAGGTTTATTTTAACAGTGAGAGACAAAATAACAACAACGAAATCCAGAAAAACGCATGTCAAAAATGTTATAAATTGATTTGCATTTTAATGAGGGAAATAAGTATTTGACCCCCTCTCAATCAGGAAGATTTATGGCTCCCAGGTGTCTTTTATACAGGTAACGAGCTGAGATTAGGAGCACACTCTTAAAGGGAGTGCTCCTAATCTCAGCTTGTTACCTGTATAAAAGACACCTGTTCA